AAGGAAGAAGTCTTTATTCTCCTTCTTTCTTCGCCGTATACGATCGTCGTCTAAATTTTAGAACCATCATCAAATCCAATGGCTACAACAACATCTTCTTCCTCCTCTTCCTCAATCCCTCCTTCGTCTCCTGCCACAACCACACCTTCACGTCAACATCTCCTCCTCGAGCCACCGTCTTCGAAAAAGAAAAAAAGTAGAACAAACGTTTTCCGAGTTTTACGTACCGTTTTTCGATCTTTCCCGATCTTTACAACACCAGCCGTAGCATGCAAAATCCCGGTTATACATCCCGGTTTAGGCTTACCGGATCCACATCACAACACGTTAAGAATCACGGGAACGTTATTCGGATACCGTAAAGGCCGAGTAAGTCTTTCGATTCAAGAAAACCCTAAATGTTTACCTTCTTTAGTCGTAGAACTCGCCATGCAAACGACAACTCTTCAAAAAGAGCTTAGTACGGGAATGGTGAGAATCGCGCTCGAGACTGAGAAACAGCCTCGAGCGGATAATAATAACAGTAAAATAGAAAAGAAGACGGATATTTTGGATGAACCATTATGGACAATGTATTGTAAAGGAGAGAAAACGGGTTATGGTGTAAAACGCGAAGCGAACGAAGAGGATCTTAACGTGATGGAACTGTTGCGTCCGGTTTCAATGGGTGCCGGAGTTTTACCCGGTAACTCGGAGTTGGAAGGACCCGACGGTGAAATGGCGTATATGAGAGCTTATTTTGAGAGAGTTATTGGGTCTAAAGATTCAGAGACTTTTTATATGTTGAGTCCTGAAGGGAATAATGGACCCGAGCTTAGCTTTTTCTTTGTGAGAGTTTGATTAAATTTTGTTATGGTTTAAATATTAATTTAACGTGCATGTAAAGACCGGAGACGGTGGTTGACGTTATATATATTATTTTAGAGCATCATTAACAATGATATGGGTATCATTAAATATAAAATTATTAAAATTTGAYTAAAAYYAAMAAAYAYAYTGTTTTTMYTTGAAATAATGGGGTYTATTGAAATATAAAATTAATAAAATTTGAATAAAGAGAAGAGATAGTGGATATTTTTTTAGAGAGAGTATCAAATAGTTGATATAGTTGATACTTTTGAATAGAAAAAGAATGTGTTTTTAATAATTTTATATTTAAATAGAGTATAAAATTAATAAAAGTTGAGTAAAAAGATGAAAGAGAAGGTATAAAGTTAAGTAAAAAGAAGAGAGAGTGTGTTTTTAATAATTTTATATTTAATGATACCCACATTGTATCATGGATAATGATGGTCTTAGAATACTTATCGATGGTCTATTATTTAAGGCTTGACGTTTTTATATTTATTTAATTTGGAAATTTATAGTAAGAAAGACACGTTTTAACTACTTATATATATAAAATGAATCTTGATATTTTTATATGTTCTAACTTGATTTTTTATTTACGAAAAAATATTTAGTCACCACAAGGATAAAACAAAATGAATGAATAAAAAACATGCAAGTGATTTTTGTGACAAAAAAATAAAACATACTAGTGATGGTATTTTTGGAATCAACTATATAATATTCCGGTCCGTAGATCAACGATGCCTAAATTTGCAGATACATTCAAATAATAAATCTACACAATTAGCCAATAAAGTATACATCAATAAGTGGTAGAACAGTCGTCGTTAGACCTTGGCTCCTGGATTTCGTGCATTTCCTTGACCTGCACGTCTTGAATTACTACCTCCTAAATCAATCTTGATCTCTCTGATCATCTTTTGATCCCAAACCCTTTCTCCTTGTCCTTTCCATACAATTAAATTCAAACAACCATCATTAATATCTTTGAGCATTAGTTTTGATGTAATAATTAGAGTCGTTCATGAAGAAAAATATGTAAATTTGGAAAAAAAAAAGTGTTCGGTCCAAAATAGATGGAGAAAATAAAAATCATATTCATATTAGAAATCACAGAATGGCAAACTTAATTAACTCTTTACAAGGACATGAAGAATCCATGAATCTCTACAAGGGCTATATGAAAAAATAAAATGAAAATTTGGTTTGAGAGAGATGAATAAAGTTGATCATAATTAGAAACTTACTTGTGAAGGAGGATTGGTATGGTATCCGAGCGAAAGCTGTGTTTGATGATCCAACGACCAATAGAATAATCAAAGTAACTAACCAAACCAAGCGATGAGTATACATTATTATTTTTGTTTCGTTGTTCGAATTTGTATGAGTTATACAAGTACTACGGATAATCGTTTATTTGTATAAACGCAAATTTTGTGGTTATAGGTAGTGAACTTTGTCTCTGACGAAGAAAATGATTTGATGAAAACATATGTTTATTTATAGAACAAGTTTTCTTGACTTTTTCAATTTCTTTAACGAAGATGATGATATGCATCTTTTACTTGGTAACAACTTTTGGCTGATTTTTATGGTTGAATTAATGTATTTTCTGTTTGTTGGAGAATAAGTCCAAGTTCTCGGCTCAAGACGGTCAAACGAGAAATTTTAAGGAATATCTAATTATTTAAGTCAACCC